CAAAGCTGCAGTTCCTTAGTTGGTCTGCGGGTTCCTGGGAAGGCACCCTAACAATAATAACTTAATAAACATCACTGACTTATCACTTGACTTGCATTACAGAATCTCTCCACACGTGTCTCACATTCTCCGCTGGTTATTTCTGGGCTCCTCGAGTCAGCTCAAGAGCAATTCTTTCCCATTTCTTTCTGTAGCAGCCCCTCCCTCCTCGCTCCTCTGGGGCTGTTGTCCCAGCTCTTAAACAGAGACCAGGGGCAGAGCTTTGCAGCCCTACTGTGCGTTTGGGGAGGGGGGGAGTGTGGTGCTCATGCCCAGGCCCGCTTCTCCTTCCCCTCTTTGTGCTGGGTCCCCCCAGGTTCAGGGAACAGGCCACGCTGTGCTCTACCCTCTCGCCCCTGTACCACATGGCCACGGAGGTCCCACAAAAGGCTGCTGGTGCCCTGGAGAGTCTCTGAGTCCCTTGTGAAGTCAGCTCCTGGCTTCTGGATGCAGCTTCTCTCTCTTGGCTCTGTCACCCATCCAAGTGTCTGGGTGGGGACATGAGACACCAGGTCCTCCTTTCTCTTCCACCTCTGCCTCCAGGAGCTCACCCAAGGGGTGATGCCACCATCATCACTTCCAGCCAAATATCCAGAAGAGATGATGTGCGCTTTGCTAAGGTGATGACTGATTTCCTTCCAGAGTTGTGCTGATTTTAATTCTTAATTTGTAGAACTGTTATTGAGATTCAGTAATGAATGCAGGTAAAATACTTCACACGGAGCCTGGCACATAGCAAATGCTCAAATCATTGGTAGTTTTTAAAAAACTGTTTCTATTATTGTTGCTGTTCTGTCTTCTCAGATGTTGTCTTTCTACCACTCACACACCTTAATCTTTTTAGTTTCCCTTTATGTGGAAACCTCTTTGTACCCCTGGGATCATTTCAGTGATATTCTCTGGCCCCTTCTCAAGTGTCCTCCCACCATCCTGAGTGGCAGAGAGAGGGAGCCAGGGGGCAGCGAGTCGGGCTCCGCCCATGGATGTGTTTCCCTCTGTCATTAGCTTGGTTTCAGGGAGTCCATAGAAATATCAGCTTGGGGAAGAACTCGGTGTTTTTGGCTAAAATAACATTGATGTATACATTCTTTTCCTCAACAGTAAGGCAACCAAAATGCTGGAGGAGAGAATTTCACCTTGTCACACATTTTAAAGGAAAACTGGGTTAGACGAGAGAAAACAATTCCTGCTGGTACATTTGAAGGCAGCTGAGGCTCCAGTTCCAAAAGGAACAACTGAGCTTATTTACTAACTAGACGTAAAATTATTGCTCTTTCTCAGCTCCTCTGGAGCCACTGTTTGCCAGATAAAAGGGTCAGTGAATTAGGCAGAGGAGCTTGTTTTGCTGGCTGAGAACAGTGCCCCTGGCTCGAGTCTGAAACTGAACTGCTGAGTTGATCAGCTCTCTCTTCCTAGCAAGTCCCCTAAAACCAAGATGCTACCCTTTCCGCTCTCTCACTAGCTATTTTGGGTTATTTTATTTTATTATTTTTTTTGAAGGCAGACGTAATTGTTAAATTTCCAGATGTTACATTTAGTTCTTCACATCTTGGATATGCATCTCTTTTCTTCTTAACAGAAAACAAGTTTAATTAGAAACGACACACATTTTCTTCCCTAGGCCTGGTTCTATTCTATTTGGGGGAAAACTTGTACCCAGATGTTTCTCTTAAATTATTTTCCGAGTTAATGGTCCAAGCATATAGCTCAGCAAATATGACGTCATCCAAGGTCTAATAAAACTCGCTACACTTAGAAGAGACCAAGGCTCTCAAGAACCCCTTCAGGACTTACAGAGAAATGCGGGCTGTGGATGCGAGCGGGGCCGACAACGTGGGAGAGGTAAAGCAGGAAACAGGTGCAGGGGACACGCACCTCTCACACTGAGCAGTTGTTTGTGCCAAGTCACCCCGTTCCTCCCCCCCCACCCCGCAATCCACTTGTTGAAATCCTGACTCCCAAGGCGATGATGCAGAAATGAGCCTTTGGGAGGTGATTAGGTGATTAGCTCTTATGAAAGAGACCCTGGTGAGCTCCCTCACCCCTCCTGCTCCCACCATGTGAGAACACAGTGAGAAAACAGCGCCTGTGAACCAGGGAGCAGGCCCTCCTCAGACACCTAGTTGGCCAGCGCTTGATCTTGGACTTCCCAGTCTCCAGAACTGTGAGAAATAAATTTCTGTTATTTAAGTAAAGTCACTCGGCCTTCAGAATTTTGTTATAGCGGCCTGAAGAGACCAGGTACTACCTTATAACAGTAACGCACTTCGACTGAGCTACATGGCACTCTGTTCCAAGCACTTTACACGAATTCTTTCATTTGATTCTCACTGATTTCCTATAAAGTAGGAATTATTATTGTCGACACTTACAGATGAGGAAACTGAGGCTCAGAGAATGAAGTCACTTGTTGAGTTAATAGCTAGGGGAGTCAGAACAGAAAGCTGGCTTGTCTGATTCTAGATGTGTTCTGGACTCCTAGTACCCTCCCCCCTTTCCTCTTCACCCCTTTCACACACACACACCCCAATTTCCATTTAGGGAAACTGGTTCCAGTGGGACCAACTTCACTCCAGCTCTGGGTGCGGGTCATGCGACTGAGGCTAAGCCAATCAGCGCAGGGCCAAAGTGATTGGTGAGGAGTGGCCATGTGACCCAAGGCCTTGCCCTCTGAATGAATGACAGGGTTTTGGGATAAAGTTGTCTCTCATTTTTTGTACTTTGGACACGTGTGAAAGTATTTGCAATTATAGGAAAGACTGTTTGAGGGTGAAGCCAATATTCAGGGAGGTGAGAGGTGAAGGAACTGCAGAGGAATGGAGGTGAAGTGCTGGTGACATGTGAACCTCTACAGCAAACCATGGCTGAGCCTGGACCCTGCAGCTCAGGGGTCACAGGGCCCACAGGGCCCCATGTGTGCCGGCCAGATTGAGTGGAGCCTCTGCTTCTCGTAGACCTGACACTTTGAGTGATGTGATCACACTGTCCCAAATGAATCTTCCGAATTTTGCTGAACCCTAGGTTGGTGACGTTTCCCCTAGGCACTGGCATTTCCTTAAAAAAAAAAAAAAGTAAACACAGAGAGGTTAAAATTTCCCTTAAAATATAAGGGAGGGCTTGTGGCACCAAAATGGGGCTGGCTGATTTCCGTGGGGTTCTTTGGTTCCGTGGCGTAGCATAATCTTGAACCAAATGGCATTTTTTAGGGAAATTTCCTGAGGAGAAACCTTTAGAATGCCTGATGGTGATTTTGAAACAGTAGCAAACTCTGTTTATGAGAAAATGAGAAGTAAATTAAGTTCTCTGTTAGCTCACACTAGTCCCCCAGCCCCAGGTGCACACAGAGGCGGGTCACCTGAGAGAGCTCGCCTGGCGTCCCCCCCCCAATACCTCGGCCGCCCGGGTGGCAGTTCCCAGCTTCATTCTAGTTGCTGTTTTCCGCCAGAGGGTTAAAGAGTGGTAATGGTTTTGGCCGTTTCTCCAGCCAGGACTGTTTGTACTTGAGTAGGAGACTTGTAAACAGTGAGTAATTTTCTTATTGCAGGAGAGAAATTCACCGTGAAATTTAAGGCCCATGACAGGACACTAAGGACAGATATATTTTGGGCCATAAACACTTTCTTTTTCTCTCAAATCACAACATCCTTAGAGCAACTGCTGTGTACCCAGTCATGGCTAAAGTCAGCGCTGTGAATGACAACCCTTGTTTAACCCAAACCTATAGCATCTGACATCCTCTCAATCGCACACCTATACATATTGTTGAATTTTCAGAAGAGGGCAAAGAATAGGAAAGGGAATGGCTGAGCTGCAGAAAAGTAAAAAGCGAGCTCGCTCCCTGTTCCTCGGCTGTCTTTGGAAGGCTGGCGGCTGTGCTGAGCTGTTGGAACACGTGGGTACCCGGAATCCACGCAGGGCCTTCGCTGGAATAGGGGTGCTTGCTGAAGAGGGTGCAGGGCAGAGTCTCGCTGCAGGGACGGTGAAGGATCAGAAACTCAGCTTGCTGTTTGTGTGCACAGCGATATCACCCTGTGTGTGATCAGAAGTGTGTTCCTGAGCCTGGCACGGCCACAGCTGGTCTTTTCTCCTGAGCATTTAGGGGCATAGGCGAGGCCACTACTGTAATTTTCTTTCCATAAACCTCAGGTTCTGGTTTTAAAGTTTTGATTCACCAGGCATTCATGGGTTGCTATTCTAGGTAGTTTAATTATATAGAAAGTAATTAATAGCAATGGATATTTTTAAACTGTGGAGTTTCTTCCTCTTTTAATCTCTAATATAGTGGCACTTTCATGGATAGAAAAGACCTGCAAGTGATGAAGTCAAGTCAGTCACACAACTCCAGCCCCTTAGTAGGAGCAACAGGGCCAGACAGGCCTTGGGCCCAGGGACACTGGAAGGAGTGGGTGGGGGAGAGGGAACGGGATCATGAAGAGGCTGAGGAGCCGACCATTCAGCTCTGCACATCCCAGGACAGGCGAAGACGGGACTGCTAAACTGGCTTTAACAGCCTGCTCATTATGAGGGCATTAAGGTGCTCTAAATGTGTCCACTGGCCCACAGGGACACATTTATTCGAGTACAGGACAGTGCCTGTTTTGCTCCGTGGAGTATATGAGGTGCTGAGTGTAGGGCCTGGCACACAGTTCAGCAGTTACCCGTTAAGTTTGGTTTCATCAGCTTCTCCACCCCATGGCCCATGGCGTGGGCCTTGTCCAGCACAAGGATGGGCACATTTCCCTAGTGCGCTAACTTTAGCAGGGCCACCATCCTCCCGAATCTCTTAGTCTGTGCCAGCCCCCTGCACTGTGTCTGTAGGAAATGACATTATAACTACAGGACTGTACTCAGGTTCTTTAATGAACCATGAACAATCGTGGGCAAGTTTTCTTTATTCTGAGTAACTGAGGAAGTACTCCTAAGGAGCTGCAAAGCAGGGCATCTGGTGTGAGGTGACCACTTAGAGGGCATCTGGTGTGGGTGGGCCCTCAGGACTGCTCGGTGGCTACCAGGGGGCTCCCGAGAAGCAGGTAATTTCGGGCTCTTGGTTCCGCGTGTGGAGTCTGGGCCCCTGGTACTGGGGCTAACACGTCAGTGCCTGTGCCTTTGCAGGCCTTCTCGTAGATTCTGTGACTCAGAGGTCTCTTTGTGGTCCACTGGTTCCGCTTACTCAGTTGGTTCAGTTTGAGATGCCAGGGGATCCCACGAGGCACGCTGCTGTGCTTTTGAGCGGCTCAGGAGCAGATGACAGTGGCATTGGCACAGGCCACCGTAGAATGGTTTTCATTGTACAGTTTCAGCAAAAGCTGGTATTCTCCCTGAAAGGGACACAGGGAAAGCATGAGGTGGTGACCCATAGAACAATCGGCCATTCGTTGAAGAGCACCTTCTATGTGCAGGCACTGCTGTGGACACCAGGGATAAAGTGGAAGCTGATAAACCAAACCTCGCCCTGTGAAGCTTGTGGGCTCGCAGAGAGGGACAGACACCACCCGCGATCATTAGTTGTGTATGTGTTATGTCACATGCTGACGTTACACAGAAAACTTGAGCAGGGAAGGGGGTGGCGGGAATGCTGGGCAGGGCAGGGCAGGGCAGGGCAGGGCAGGGTGGGGCTGGTGCAGACTTGCAATTTTAAGTTGGGCAGTCAGGGCAGCCGGGCAGAGAAGGTGCGGGGGGAGCTCACCATGCTGCTCAGGGGCTGGTTCCCATGCATGAGGACCAGTGAAGTGGTCAGTGGGATTTCAGGGAGACGGAACCCCAGGGGGAGGGAGAGGAAATGAGGGCAGGAGGCCTCATTGGCCATGGGATGCTGCCTTCAGTTAAGAAAGGGATGCTGATGAGGAGGGTGTTTTCCCCAGAGGAGTGGTCTGACCTGGTAGATGTTGACAGGGTCCCTGTGGCTGCCTCTGACAAGAGGCTGCAGTGAGAGAGGGTGGCAGGAAGAGCAGGTGGGAGGGGACTGCAGCAAGCCAGGAGAGAGACGGTGAAGGTTTGGAGCAGGTGGTGGAGATGGAGTGGGGGTTGGATTCTTGATAGATTTTGTAAGAAGAGTCTATATGACTTGCTGAGGAAACCCATGTGGGTGGGAGAGAAAGAGGGGTTAGGGTGACCGCAAGGACTCTGGCCTGAGCCACTGGAAGGATAAGGTGTCACCTGCTGAGACAGGGAAGGCCTCTGGGGGAGCAAAATTCAACTGTATGAAAGCAACATGCTCTGTCAGAAAAAGTATCTCTGCCTTTTAGGTTCCTTTTTGGCAACAACACTCCACAGAGGAGTCCTTTTGTCTGTATTAGTGGCTGCTACACAGGCCTGTGCGGAGCTGCAGGAAGAACCCAGGGGTTGACCGCATCTGCTCTGCTCCCAGCAGAAGGCCTGCCCAGCCCCCACGGTCCGTGTGCTAAGTGTCTGTAGACTCAGCAGTCTGGAGAGGAACAGGCGGGGGCAGGCGACAGCAGTGCTAAGCAGCGCAAAGGGCCCAAGAGGGAAGGATGCAGGAGACTCCTGGGACATCTTTGACGTGCCTGTCCCCGGAGGAAGGAAAGGAGCCTAATCTGTGTAAGCCAGAGGGAAGGAATAAATCAGACCACTGGGTAGAAGTTGCATGAAAAGTAGGTTTTTGTTAGAAGAGAAAAACTTGCTAGCAATTAGCAGAGGTTCAGGATCAAGCGGGTTCCCACCACTGAAAATTGTATTTGAGACACCCAGGTTCCACTCAGGATGGCGACTTGGGCATGAGGATTGATTAGAACACCTCAGGCACCGTTCAGCTTGAGGATTCTGTGACCGAGAGGCTCCTGTGGGTCTGACTGCTCAAATATGGAGCAGCTGTGGTTACAGAAGCAGTGTTAGGGATTTAACCAAAGCAGTGTAAAAGCAAGAGAATTAATTATGAGTAGAAACCAGCTCAAATTTGCAGCTGATTATGTTTAATTATCATCATTATCATCACCCATTTTTCTTTAACTGTCCTTGTGCATTTATGTACATACCCTTCAAAATTATTGAAAACAAAATAAAGCTTTTATTATTGCTTTATAAGCCTAGAAAAGATGTAGTATTTGAAGGAAAGGTTTCTAGATTATGAGTTACAAGCTATACATATTCTGGTTTAAGAGGCAAGAGTCTTTAGGCAACTGTGCCCAGCTCTAGGCCGGTGGAAAGACATGCTAGAAGACAGGAGGGACAGAGTAGGGACAAGGGACAGAGAGCAGTGGCCCTTCTGCTGTCGAGAGGAGTATTGAATTTGTGAGTTAGGAACTCATAGTCCTTGGCACTTATGCAGTTAGGCTGTACCTACAAGTTGTCCGTGTGCTTTGGAAGCCCACGGATCTCCAGTTCTAATTCAGAAAACAGCAGCCATAGACAGACGTGGGGCTCCCGGAGGGCTTGCAGCCTGGGCCCAGGCACTGGTTATGAAAAGTAAAGAACACAAGACACTCAAGACTCACTGCTGAGTGGAAAAGTTTTCAGCCAAGCAGGGACAGAATTAGCACAGAGCCCATCTCCAGGGGATTTGATGGGAGGAAGGGATCTTTTAAAACCAAAAGGCTTCGCACTGTCTCTGTCCCATATTAGGAAGCAAAGTCTTTGAGCCTTGCAGGCTGGCTGTCAGCCAGGGAAGCCTGAGCTGCCTGCAGCTGGTCCTCGGCCAACATGGGAGCCCACGCGGGGATTAAGGCCTCCAGCTGCCTCTGCTGCTTATGTGACAGGCCGCCTGTGTCCCACGAGGGTTATTTCCCCTGTTGGGTCTGGCAGGGTGTCAGCAGCCGGGGGCGGGGTCAGGGGTGGCCAGGTTTCTGCGTCCCAGGCTCAGGCTTCAGAAAAGGAGGAGGCAGGAGGACCAGGCAAAGACAGCCTTTGGATGCGTGACCACCCAGACCCAGGGCCGGGAGACCTGACTGCATCTTTGCCCTCACATTGGGCACCAATCTCGTTGAGCACCGTTATCCAAGAGTCCTGGCAATAAAGCTTTTACAGCTCTGGTAAATTTTCTTTCAAGGAGATTCCATGGCTGGAAGAAGTTCTTTCCCCCTCTATTTCAGAGCAATTGCTAAAGGGAACGTGTTTATTTTAAAAAAGCCAATAATGCAAGATGAAAATCAATTGTTTGCAAATTTTAAGTCACTCTCCAGTGTGTGTGTGTGTGTGTGTGTGGCGGTGGGGAAGGAGGTAAGAAAGAAAATGGGTGAAGGAAAAGAATTTAAATAGCAAAGATTTAAAGAAAAATCTATCTGGAGGATTAGGCCCCACACTTTAGAAGTGAAGGGCGTTTGCAAAATATTATACTGAAAGGCTGGCAGAGAAAAGTCTGGAGAAGAAAACCCCCAGCTGCCTGAGCAATGCTAGTGCAAGTCCCTGATGGTCCAGGGACGTGAAGGCTGTGACCTTAGGAACCCAGAGGCCGGGACAGAAAGGAAACATGCAAGAGAAATGAAACTAAGTTAAACAAGTTCTTTATGGAGAAGGAGACCCTTCTGGAGGAAAGAAAGGATGGCATTAAAACAAAAAAAATAATTATTGCATTTTTGTGATTCTTTTTATGTTGTTCCATAAGATTCGGTCAGGTGTAGCATATTGGAACTGTATTACATATGTCAGGGCTGCTTGAATGCAGCCATCTAATAAAGTCACATCATTCTGAGAAAAATGGAATTCATGGAAAATTCTACTCTCAGCTGCGAGGCTCTCCAGTGAAGGCTCGGGGCGTGAGCACTTTATTTACTTGGTGGCAGCCCCTGAAGGGCAGCACGCAGATGGTAACGGGGGCACCTTTAAGCCCTCATGGTTGTGTGTTTCTTCCTTTCTCGGAAAGGCCAGCCTTACGGAGCTCAAAAGACAGCAAGCCGGTGCCTGCCGCCCACACCCCAGCAGCCCCAGCCGTGTGGGGACCCCGCAGACAGCGCAATCCTGGGGGGGCAGGATGCCCGCATCCCTCTGGGTGGGAGGTGTCTACCCAGAGGATCCCCAAGGGTCCGACATGACGTAAAATGTCCAATACCAAAATGACAAAACCAGTGTGTCAAACATTTGAAAGTGCCCACTATGAAGTATGAGCTGTACAGAGAGAGGGTTTTCCTCCTGGGGGCCTATGAAGGTTAAACTCTTCAGTTCCCTGTCCTCCCTTCTGTCCCCTCTCCTCCTCCATCCCTCCTTCTGCCCTTCTCAGAGAAACTGCTCCATATAATAATTAAATAACAAAATAAAACAGAAAACCAAAACCTTACCTGGGGAATATCGAATGAGTAATTATTGACAGGGCCCGCATAATAAATCTGCTCTGAAAAATGTACAAAACATACATAGTGTTATTCAACTGTTTAAAACAACAATGACTTCTCACGTTATCTGTGCTCACTGTGCCCCGGGGATCCAGCGATGAAGAAAAGCTCTTTGTGCAAACACTGTTTCTGTTCTAACGAGGAGACTGGCAGCACATAAATAGCTAAACAAGACAGGAGCTAGACAGTAAAAAGTGCAAGAAGGAGACCTCAGGCAAGGTGAGCGAGGCAGGTGGTGTGATGGTGAAGAGGTCAGGCTGGGGCCCACTGCGCAGGGTTAAATCCTAAGACTCTCTTGTAACTGTTAGACCTTGAACAGTTATTACCTCCTTAGGCTCTGTTTCCTTGTTTTTAAGATGAGTGTAATAATGACAATAACAGTGCCCATTTCATCAAGCTGCGAAAAATAAAAGAATTAATTCATGTAAAGCACTAATAACAATGTCTGGGGAGCACTCAATAAATGTTTCTAAAAGCATGTGCTGGGAGGTGCCGTGTGTGATAGGATGGCCGGTCAGGGAAGGTATCTTCAAGGAGATGATGTTGGGGCTAAGCCCTGAGGGAGCTCACCAGGTGAGCATTTAAGGAGCTGGGACAGGAGAGCCTCAGGGCACCAGAATGGAGGAGTTTGGGAGGGAAGCACAGGGGGAGATGAGTGTGCTGAAGCACAGTGAGCCAAAGGGCCTGTGTTGAGAAGAGACTGAAAAACTTGAGGGGAGACAGACCTTTAGGGACCTTGAGGACATGGCAAGGAGAAAGGTGGTAACAAGTCAAACGACAATGCGTGGAGAGGCCTGGAATGGAAGCCATCCAGGGGCTACGGTGAGCGATGATCAGTGAAGCGTGATGGTGGAGATGGAGAAAACAAGTAAGATCATGACTGTACTGGGAGGCAGGACCTACTGAGGAGTTGCATGTGGAGAGTGAGGCCAAGGGCGGGTTTAGGCTTGAGCATCTGGGTGGATTGGGGTGCCATTTACTGAGCCTGGGGAGCCTGGGGAGGAAGAAGTTTGTGGGGTGGTGGTGGTGGTGACTAAAGAGCTCTATCTCTGGGGGTGATTTTCAGTGGTTCCTGAGAGCACTTGGACACATGATTCTGGAATTTTTGAAAGAGGTTAGGGATAGAGCTATGAATATTGGAGTCATCAACATGCATATGGTGATGAGGCCATGGGACAGTATGGGACCTTCACCCCCTAGGAAAATAAAATTAATAGGTGGATAAGGGAAAAGTGCCAGGACCACTCTTGAGGCCCCCTAACATTCAGGAGAGGGGTAGAGGAGGAGAAGCCAGCCAAGGTGACCAAGAAGGAATGGCTATGGAGCCCAGGGCAGCAAGAAGTAGGATCGAAGGAGCCAGGAGATGTATGTTCTTCAAAAAAGGAGGGTATGGACCTGGCCAGTATGGCTCAGTTAGTTGGAGTGTCCTCCCATACAGCAAAAAACGGTGGATTGGATTCCCAGTCAGGGCACAAACCCAGGTTCGGGTTCGGGTTCGATCCCTGGTCAGGGCACATTAGGTAGGCAACCAATCTATGTTTCTCTCTCACATAAATGTTCCTCTCTCTCTCTCACCAATTAAAAAATAAAGAAGTGTATTATCAACTGTGTTGAATGATGCTAAGAATTTGTTTAAGGACAAAATGTGCAGTAGACTTGGCAACATAGATGTCACTTAGTGACCTTGACAAGATCATTGGAGAAGTGAGAACAAATGCCCAGATGGGATGGGTTGGAGAGTTATATGGAAGTGAGAAAGTAAAAAAGGTTTTCTCTAGAGAGAAGCAGAAAAAGAATGAACGACAACCAGAGGGGCGGTATGGGGTTGAGCGGCTTGTTTCTTTACCTACAATGGGAGATATTGACCATGTTTGTCATTTGAAGGGAATGATCTTGTAGAGAGAGGGGGATTGAAGATGCAGAAGAAAGGGAATAACTGTAGGAATGAAGTGTTTAAGAAGGTGGGCTGGGAGGGATTTGCCTTTGAGGGGAGCACACAGCAAGAAAACATGTTCAGATGTAGGTCGTTTTGTAGATTGGCCAGTGGACCAAAGGCAGTGAAGGTCCTGTTTTCTCAGTGAAGGTGACGGGCAAAGATGTAGGGGAAACTGAGGGTGAGGACTCTGGTCCTTTGAGGAGCAAGACGATGGCATATAATAGTTATAGACAGTGGGGAATAAATTTACTTGGAAAACACAAGGACTACTAGTCAGTGTTGAGTGCTCCTTTGAGGTTTGTGGCCATGAATTTAAAGATTGCCTGGTTAGCTCAGAAGTATATTTTCTCAGCAACATTCAGTGTCTCTGATGCAAGAATGGAGAGGGTGGATGGTTGGATTGGAGTTTTACTGGACAAAAATGATAAGGAGAGAATGGCAAGGCTGCTAGGCATAGGTGCAGGGGAAAGGTTATGATAACAGACCCTGGAGTCTAAGGAGGGTAAGGAACCAGATGAAGGTTGGAGGAGTTGGTTAATAGCAAAAAGAGTGGTGGTGTCCAGTATTGCAATTAAGGTCCTGGAATAGGAACCTGGAAGGATATGGTGAAGCCAGAGGTCAAAAGCCTTGACACTGAGATTTTAGCAGTGGTGCATTTACTGGTGATGACAAGATGCAGAGTGGAGATGGGAGACAGCGGTTGAGGTGCAATGATGGAAATGGTTGTTGGAAGTAAGGAAGTTAAGGACCTGAAGCATCATGGTGCTGGGTGGGCTATCTCTGTCAATATTAAATCAACAGAAAGGATGGAACCGTGCCCAGCTCCTCAGATGGTGGCTGCCTCCTCTGTGATTCCCCAGCACTGTGCATGTAGCATATTATAAGCAGAGGCTAAGAGTACAGACCCCAGGGCCAGACTATCCAGGCTGAGTTTGAATCTTGGCTCTTTGTCCTACTAACTGAGCAAGTCACCCAACCTTTCTGAGCCTCAGTTTTCCTATCAGGAAACACAGGTGATAATAACATCCACCTCACAGGGTCCTCGTGACCGCCAAATGAGTTAATACATGTAAAACTCTTACAGCAGCACCTGGCACCTGTGAAGCACTCAATAAGGGTTAGCCATTAGCATACTCATCCACCAATCCACAGCACTGGGGCCATCCATATAGACCAGGCACTGTGCTAGGGGCTGGATACAACAGCAGACAAGAACAGTATGTGAACCGTTTGAATCACCGACCACCCGGAATTGTAACCATTTGTTTACAGGGCTGCTTCCTTCACTAGACTGGGCTTTTGTGCCTTCTTGTTTGCATGGTTCCCAGTACACTGCGCAGAGTCTAACACACAGCCGGCTGCGATATATGGTTACTAATGAGGTCACTGACTGAGCAGATCGAGTCAGGACACGGGTCTGCCAACCACCTTCATTCTTGCTCAGTATTGTAATCCTCTACCTGCCGGGAGTGTCTGGGCCTGGGAAGTGCTGACACTAGAGCCTGGATTAGGGAATGAGCCACTCAGAACAGCCAACGGGAATGAGGGAGGAGGGGTGGGAGAGAAGGATGGCGGTGAGTAAATGCTTACTCCTGTTAGCTACTGAGCTCTTTTAATGACTCAGAGGCTTCCTGCTTCACACGGCATCTGTTCAGTAAATATCTGGAGATAGACCAAACTCTCCACATAAAAAGGTGTGTTGGCCCAGGGGCAGCACGGCTGGGGCATGAGCAGCTGTCCTCCTGGAACAATACCAGGAGCATGAGGATAATCTTTCTTTAAAAAGGCCTCCCCAGGGCAATCTGCGACTGAATTTCTACCAGGAGACCATGCTTAGTATAGACTTTGGCTTCTGTTAAATGCCCATGTCTCCAGCATATCTATCCTTCCTTAAGGATCGTGTGCAAACATGGTGTGTGCCAGATGGCAGATGTGCCCATTTCATTGCACCATGTATAACTGGTCCATTCATGTTTAAAAGGAAATAGGTATTTTGTTGTGGATATAAGGGGTTTATTGGAAATTACTATTCTGTATGATGTGGTATTGGAAATAGAGATGTTAACATCTGGATCTTGTCCTTAAGAATCTTCCAGTCCACCTGGAGAAGATGCCATAACTAAGCTATAGAGAAAGCAAACTGTGAGGAGTGAGTGGTGTGTGCGCAGTGTATCTCACAAGCGCAAAGGGTTCAGAGGGGCAGCCTGGGATTCATTAGCACTGCTGGCCTGTTGTGCAACCAGAGGGCAGACCATTCACATGAGAATTTATGGTGTCCCCTGGAGTTGGGTGACACAGTACCCCAGCTACCAGTACATGATTTCATTTTCTGAAATTATATCTTTCCCAGTGGACACTCTCTGAACCAAACCAGGACAATTTGAGCAGAGGGACAGAGAGACCCAGGGCCAATCTATTCTGGCAAGACATGATTTGTTTCATTTCAACTCACCAGTCTCGAGAGCCGCCCACTTTGTACCTGGCATAGCAGACTTCTCACTGATTCTGTGACTCCTTTTGAGAAAATGCCTTTGCTTTTGTTGACTGAAATAGGTTTCTACCTCTTGCAACTCAGGGACTTTGACTGCTGTGGGCATGAACCAGTCAAAATCACTCATGCTGGCCATCAGAGTGTGGGATGCAGCGTGTCTCTGGAGCAGAATCAAGGATGGGGACTGAGTGTTCCCATCCATGTCTGGTCTGACTGGATGATCTTGGGCATATGTATGTTTCTATTCATTGTTCTAAGGTGACATCCTGCAGAAGATTTGACCTAAGAGACACACAGACTTGGGATCAGGACCCACCTTTCCTACTCACTAGCTAACTGTTGGTGGGCAATTTGCTTAACCGTCCTGTGACTCAGCTTCCTCACTTTGCAAAGTAGAAATAGGGATGCCTCTCTTGTAGAGCATTAAGAGGACTTAAGAACTTGTATGCGAACTCTCTGAGCAAAGTGGGGTCCCCAGTAAGGGTAGAAACAGTAGTCATTTATTGTATTATTGTTTATTGGATATGTCGTAATGAAGGCTCGCTTGGCGGATGCTGAGGAACAGAGCAAGG